GTTTTGCGGCTAGGAAAAGTTCCGACCTGAGGTCGATAGGCCCATAGGCGCAATACTACGAGCAAACAATATAACTTTCACTATGTTTACCATACACTGTTGTTATTAGGCAGCTGTGTGGGCTCCTATTTTATATTTTACATTCACGTACACTAATCACTTAAATCTGAACTATGATATGATAAGAGCAATAGAAGATGATGAGATTAGGCAAAAATGGCCAATTTTGTTTTCTTTGTTGCATTCACTGGTTTTATCAGAACATTTGAGAACAGTCTAGCTGTAACTATAGTACTAGATTAAAACAATCTTTTAGCACAATCTTTAAGCTCTGCAGGGAACAATTTTTCTAGAAGATGTCTAAAACTAGAATTATTGCGGTACTAGCGTTTTTCATAATATACTATTAGCGGAGTAAATAGCTTCGTAATGTAACAAGTTAATTAATCCATGGCCTCCTATTAACTACTATCAGCATCAGTATGTCACCTTTGCAGAACAAATAGTCCAATTGAAACAAAAATTATTGTTCATTAAAATGTTTGAAATGTACGTTGTGTGTCAACTGATCGGTCTTCTTTGATATTTCTCCAATTTTGTTGTGTAAGAAGATATATTACAATATTTACTACGTCGTAAATATTAAAGGAATATTCAATTTCAAACGTATTTTCTGGTGGTCACGCCAAACGGAACTCTATCTAGACATGTATTGCTCTGAAGCAATGTTTAGAAGCAGCTCGCTTGTGATTGGTGGAAAAACGCAAAACTCTGCTGTGCAGGGCTCACTGCAAAACGATAGGAAAGAGCTGAGATTAGTTTGACGTATGAATACTGTGACGTTTGCACAAAAACGTCGTGCGCGTGCTTTGGAATCGCTCGTCTTTTTTTATGCTGTTCCTTCGGGAAAACATGCAAGTTGTGGTTCCGATTTGAGTACATGTCGTGTGTTTTCTAAAAGAATTTTGCTTTATTGAGGTGGTATAATGTACAAACAGAATATTTTCCTGTCAGATGGCGATAGGTGAAATTATTTAAGAGTAAAGGTACACATGTAAACTAGGCATGCTGCACGCTAGAATATTTGCTCTATCAATCTTCCTAATGTGGTGGTGCACGGGTTGTGTTAAGAGTTTCGGAAGAGAGCATGTAAAAATATATTTATATGTTAATCCATTGCAAGTACATGTAATTTGTGTCCAGTAAAATGTACTGCGTTAAACTAGAGGAATCCGGACGAATATACCTTACTTTTGTACGACGATGTTTTTAATTAATTTACATTATTTTAGTAACCAAGGTATGTCAAAATCACGGGCAAGCTCACCACAGTTTATGAGCATTATATCCTGGCGTGATATTTAAAAGAAATGTAGGTAGAATCCACTCTTGCGTTACGTTACTGGTTGCCTATCATGGCAATCTTTTGGAGAAGCCAGTTCACAGTTATTTTGCCAAATTTAGATGTATTAGTTCTTATTTCCTCTATTAACGAAGGTAAAATAAATCATAAAATGACATAATCAGTCATCTTAAAAATAGTCAATTGAGAGTAAAATTAAACATTTTGATTCTAAAATATCTTTATTTTCTCATCGGGTTTACTCAAGATATAATAGCATTTATTTTCCACCTTCATGTTAGGGGTTCAATGAATTAAGTTTGTTGTTTTTAAAATTAGCTGTCCACCCGCAATCAAGAATTGTTAATTTATAAAGACTTGTTATTTTATGTCTCATTATTGATAAATTCTACAAATAACTTAACGATGTAGATATTATAACTGTACGAAAACAAGGAAAGAATTCGTCATTAAATCATACTTCTACCTATTGCCAAAAATGTTTATGCAGGCGGAATTTAAAAAATTAAATAGTAACACATAGTAAAAAAAATATCCCTTATATCACATTCCTTTTCGTGGTGGAATATATCTGGAAAAATATTTTTCATGTGAAGCCACCATTCCCGGGTTTGCATCGCGTTTACTTTGGGTTGTGTATCTCTCTTTGGGATTGAAATGAGCGCGCCATCAGGGGAAGTTATCCGTACTCACAGGAGTGCTGGGCTTCACAGGTCGACACGGTTTTACTTGCCTGTTGTAACTTAACTTCCAAAGGTTCTAAGAACACATCCCAAAACATGTTAGAATGTTCAGAAAGGTCTTACTTGGCAGTTCACGGCTTTTGATTTGATTCATTTTGTCAATGAATAGTAGAACCGTATGTGACATATTGGAAAGAAACACAATCTGCGCTTATTTTCTCTCTCTCTCAAACATATTCTACTCTTTTAACCCTAAATAGTGGAATGATGAATAAAATATCAATAAAGCACGTTTGGAAGTAGATGTTCGGCTGAGGCGGTGCTCTGTAAGGTGGATGTACCTAGATGAGGAAACCGTGCAAGTAGTCGTGTAGTTCAGCGCGGGATCTCATTATTCATGGGGAAGAGGAATACCCCCATCTCCCGCGATACACTTATGGGACCCATGACCATAGCAATTGACGCGTTCGGAATCATCAATCAATCAGTTGAATGAAGGGACAATTGAAAAGTTGATTCCCATAATGACCGTTTGTTATTCCATTTCTGTTTGTTTTCTAGTTTCACTTATCAATATATTTTTAAAACGCTTCTTCATTTCGCTGCCAAAAATCTTGCCTTGAAAAATGCATTGTCTTATCCGTAATCGAAAACCGTTGAATTCTTCTCTGAACTACAGCGAGTTCATTAATAGTTCACTGAAGATTCGGGCCGCGTTGCCCAGGAGTCGAGGGGTCGCTCGCCCGGCGAAGCGGTGGCTCAACTCCCGTGCTGGAATGCGTTAACTATGGGTGCGTTTAATTTACCTTAAAGGTGATGCTGAAAGTGATGTCCTTCGGCACAAATACATTCTTGGCATCTCCAGAACATGTGTAAACTATACTTCCCGACTGTTATTAATTATACAGTCCGCTATTCGGAAAATCCCTCCCTCTGCTCTAATATTATCGCGTCGTGAACTGCCCTCAGTAAGGCTTCAGTGAAACCTCTATTCGCTGCTACTATTTCCTTTAACTTAATAATTTATCATTCCCCCTACGGAACCAACCTCGTGTAAGCCCACGAACACGAAGTCTAAATATTTTGAAATGACAAATTCATACCCGACAATAAAAGTAACAATCATTAAAAAACTCAAACATTTCCGCACTTAAAAGTCAAATAAACAATACTGCTTAGCCTATACAATTTTGGATTAACCAAACAAACCTTTACCCACAACATAAATCAATTATTGCAATATTACAATTTTATAATGTTCATACCATTTGAACTGCTTGGCCGCTTTCATGAGAGTAAGAATTCGCTTCTATTTAATACAGCTAAATTTTCAACGCTTTCTTGTAATAAATCCATGTTAATGACATCAGGCCGTGCCGTACCTCGACAATACAATTCTCGTCTAGCATCCAGCATGGCACGCCTAAATGTTTATGGTTCGTTGCTTGGATTCCTAGGATTTTAACATTTTGGATGCATCAATTACGTCATATCACACCCGAGTGTCATTCTGGTATGTCACACATGGATGCGAAGTTTTTTTACAAGCTTCAAAATTGTCGACCGATGTGGAATATTCACGCCCGTAAATTTCTTAATAAACCGCTTGTTGCACTGACTGGCAGACTTAAGTGGAGCGAAGGTGTCGTAAAGAAATGATCTCTGCTTCAAAGAAAAGATGTCATGATGTGATATAACGCTCTCGGGACGCTGGTGGGTGGTCCGATCTCGCCGAGCGACCAACGCGTCGGAGGAACGGGGCCTGGTTGACAAGTCCCCGGGGAACCGAGGGCGCGATCGCCGAGGCAAGAGGTGTGTCATCTGTAACGAGTCAGGATTAACAAGGAGATTTTATATCAAGAGAAGGTTCGTGTGCGCGGCGTACTTATTTTGAAGTTGTATGTTGGTGAACGCTACGGTGACGGACAGGGTGCACCGAATGGAAAAATCAACAAGCAGAAAAAGAGAGAACGTTTTACTGAACGGAGCGCAATTTGTAGTTCAGTGAATGACTGAATGGTTGATGAAACGTTGTATGTGATAAATCACGAAGAGGGGATGAATGCTATGAACAGTCGACGAGTAATCTATTAGTGGGATATGGAAACACAGAAAATACGTATATTAAATAATATGTTTAGGTGACATATGCACGTGAGCAGAAAGGAGCACAATTGAGAACACGAGCTGTAAATAGATTCAAAAACTATTAGGTTTAGACTAGTTTTCCTTTAATTATTTTTTGGGCAATTCTTTCTTTTTCTTTCTTGTTTCATTCTATATATTCTTGATATTATAAATAAATGTTTTTGATTTGAAATTTGAAAATGTTTTTTTATTTAATCGATCGGTAAGTTATCATATTCAAGTCTATGGTGTATGCTGTAGTTTCATTGGCCCTTGATAAATAAATGAATATTTTTAACTTTTGTTCGTATTAGTGAAGTTATTTCATTAAAGAACTATTGGAATTAGAATTATTATACATCTTGGTCGAAAGATAAAATGTACACCGAGTATTAAGCTGAATGGGAATATTTTTTTGCTTAAAATCACGGAGATTGATAATTTTGGAAGTATGTTCTTCAATTTTCTAAAACGATTTTTAGGAAACGGCGTTCATTAAAACATGCAGAGTCAGTAAAACCGTAAATAATGTAATAGACAATGCAAGTTCATGAAATTTGGCAAGTGGAAAGCAATTCTAATTAATTATTTACGGACACTTCGAAAAATTCATTTTCATCCTCGGGGTTTACAATAAAAGCAACTACAACAAAACTGGAGTAAAGCGAGATCATTGTTTCCTTTCCTTGTCCTATCCTCACCCTTTATTTACACTTACATGTTCTACACTACCAAACACTCGTCGGGAGGTTACTCTGGAGCTTAAGAGCTTGTCTCGGCTGGAACGCTGTCTCTCCAGTGCGAGATATCTGAGAACCCCGCTAACCGACGTGTAAGTCGGACTCGGATCTCGCCGTACAGCGAGGACAATATCACCGTCTCCTTACGCGATAAAACGCATACACTACACTAATGGGAATAATGATCTTATCAGTTGTGATCTGGGCTGTCCGGGTGACGCCGCGTCGATGGCTGATGTGCCGACGTTTCGACCGACATGTCGCGGTTCCTCTTCAGGGGCTGTACTGCGCTTAAGGATTTGTAGCTATCACCTGATATGCACTCATATAACAAGAGCTCCCTACATCCTTGCGCAGTACAGTCCCTGAGAGTGACCGCGACATGTCCGGTTTCGAAACGTACGGCACATCAGCCATCGACGCGGGCGTCACCCGGACGCCAGATCATGGACTTCTGCCGCGGCAACCTAACGACATCGATCTTAACAGTTGTCGCCGTTCGGATCACTGATCAATCAAACAATCAAGCGATATTAAACAAATCCGTTGAATGCATATCCCTGGTAGACGAGCATCGTCTGCAGCCAATTCATCGCCTCGCCGAGGAACATTCGCTGCGGCGAGGGAGCGCCACGTGACTGCTGCGTGCCTTTGCAGTGTTGGCACGGGGGTATGGAGGTGGCTGGCGCCCGTGGCGACGGAGTTTAATTGAGCCGACACGCCCACGCGGCGAGCAAGGCAAGGGCAAGCACAGACGCACGCGGATGTCTACCGCCGCGCCGGGGCCTGCGGAGAGGACGCGGTGAGGAGGTGGGCGCGGTCGCAAGGAGATTGGGTCCGAGCGGGAAGACGTGGGTAGGCCTCGAGGCGGGAGGGAGGGCGTGGATTCATTAATTCGTTGATTTATTACGCTGTGTTTCTGGGAGGGGTCATTAGTGCCGTTAGATAAGTGCAAGTTACATTCCGAAAAGTGTCGCTGATGTTAAGCATATGGAACGTGAGATCTGGCGTCAACCTATTCAAAGGATTGCGAGGTTTTCAACTTCGGGTATCTCTCCATGGGAAGCACTGCCCCATGCGGGTCAAATTATAAGCTCCTCAGAGGTCATTAGCGATATGTGGTAGTGCAGTGTATGTACGTATGTGTGTAATTATGGGAGAGGATAGAGCACGGAAGATCACGGAAAGATCGCGCGCGATTTGTGACCCGTTTGTTAGGGTACTGCTCCGGCATTCGTCTGGCGATGATTGGAGAAGCCACGAAACACTAACGATTACATCCAGTTACAGCCACTATTCTTCTCCAGACAGCGGCTGAATTGGACTTAGCTATCTAACTATTTTTGAAAATGCGTCCGCGACGGGGCTCGAACTCTAGCACTGCAGAACCGATCAGCTAACTGTAGTGACACTTGTTGACTTGAGGTAACCCAGTGGAAGTTAGTATCTGTTCACGCAATACAAATAATTATTTCCAAATTCTATCATATGGTACAATAAACATGCTTATCGTACCATATGAAAAAATACTATCAGCCAGACCAGCCGTCCGATAAGATTTTCCTCCAGACAGCAGCTGAATTTGGCCTAGCTGTAGAGCTAGTGTCGAAAATCCTTCCCCCTGGAACCCCAGGACCTCCCGGTTAGCGGCTCTGCAACGGCATCTGTTGATGCACTGTGCCGCCTCTCCCGGTAAAAACACTTGACCTTTGAGACCCAGAGTAAACGGCGCACACTGTACGAGCGCCCGGAGCGCGTGCCCGTGTCCGCGCCGGCCCGCGGGGTGTGTTTCCTATTAGGCGGCCGGCCCGGCGCGGCGCGCGGGCGGACTCGTGTGTGTGTGTGTGTGTGTGTGTGTGTGAACGGAGGGGGGGGGACGTTGCGCAGCGCAGCTTAATTGCTGCCCTCTCGCGGGCGCCCGCCGAAGCTCGGGTTCCCGGGCGGCTGGGACCCGGGGCGTTCGACTGGGACACGCCCCACCCTGCGCCGGCACCCACGCCCTCCCCCCTCCCTCCTAGGCGGCGGCTGGGGACCTGCGTTGCTGGAGATCGCGCACCCGGGTAGTGCGGCTCGCCCCTGCTCGGGACACGCCTGACATTGTTTCATTGGATGATTATGGATTTCGGGCGCGTCAGTTAATTGATGGATTGTGTACTGAATCCGGGCACGTCAACTACAGGGCTCATGAGACCTGAAAGTGTAGTGCATGTTTTCGGCTCGAAAGGTGAATTCCCCCGCTGAATGACGAGATCCGGCGCCGACCTACCGCCGTCTAGCAGGGTTTTCCCTCAACAAGATATCTCCTATCAGCGGCGCACCGCCCCTGCCGGGACAAGGTCTAATCTCCCGACCGGTCTCCCGGCATGTAACTGTAACACACACACACACCTGTCACACACTACTACACATTCCGGGATACCAGTTGGGGGCTGAGAGATTTCCCGGTTGGGGCGGTGCCCCGCTGGTTCCAGATAACTGATAGGGAAAAACTCTTATCCTTCAGCCGACGGCAGGATATGTCGCCGGATCTCCCCATCCATCGGGGGAAGATCGGCACTCCCCGAGGAAAAAAAGCATTATACTTACGGGGATAATGACCTTAGCGAGAGCGTAGGCTTCCGCGGCCGGAGTCAGGATTTACTAGGCTGTCCGTGTGACGCCGCGTCCATGGCGAAGGTGCTAACGTTTCGGTCGCCATTCTGCGACCTTTCTCAGGGCGTATTGCCTTGACCTTAGCAGTGGACACGCCATAGATCACTAACAATCTATCAATAATTCAGTGATTTTGTACCAAATGATTAAAATATTTTTGATGCTATAAATGTTTAGAAATATGTATGTGTAGAATTTTTGAGTCCAGAGATTCGAAATAGAGGATAAAATCTTGTAATTGCAACTGCTTGGTTATTCATGTATTAGCTCTGTCTACTTGAAGACAGTGTAGAAGTTTCAGGCACTTTCGGGAAATAACTGCCTAACATGTGAGTCAATAGACAACACTGAAAACCTATTGCATACCAATGTTTATAATAATAATATAATAATATTTATTATTATTGTACGTTTATTATTATTGTACGTTTTGAAATTTGAAAAGAAAAAAACAGGATCATATTTCTCATTTTCTGATCTTTGCATGTCATGTGTCTGATTACCATGCCATATAAAAGTGGGACGCTTGAATAATAAATAAAGACGACGGGAATGTAATGATATCTCTACGGCCGAATTGTGTTTTAGGAGTATACAACATGCCAAGTGTTGTTCGTATTCGGTGTCGGAGCAGAGCGTTTGGAGGATTGTGTAGGGGTTTCTGCTGTTCGGAAGGGCACCGCGTTTGATGGATGCGGAGGAATGACGACGGGAATGGAGCGGAGATGTTTTGACGGGATGTTTTTTGCGGGGTAATGCACTTTCAAAAAGAGGAGATGCCCTCGGTTTTCCTCGCCTCTTCTGTATTTATGGATTTCTCTTTCCTTCTTCTTTTTCTTTTCTTCTTCTTCTTCTTCTTTTTCTTCTTCTTTTTCTTCTTCTTCTTCTTCTTTTTCTTCTTCTTTTTCTTCTTCTTTTTCTTCTTCTTCTTTTTTCTTTTTCTTCTTTTTTCTTTTCTTCTTTCTTCTTTTTCTTCTTCTTCTTCTTCTTCTCCTCCTTCTTCTCTACTTTCCAGTTCTTATTGCCACCGCTCTCCTTTCTCTTGTTCCTCCTCGTCATAGCTTCTCCAAATGTACTGCCTCCACGCTTTCTTTTTGTTTCCTTTCTCCTTATCTTTTCTCTGCTCACCTTCGTCCCCCTCCGTCGTTTGTCACTCCTTTAATCTCATTTCCTAACTTCTTTCTTTTCACCTCTCCCGTGTTATCTCTTTTTTATCCTGTTTCTCTTTCCATTTTATATCTCTGCCAATCTTACCTCTCTCTCCCACTATCAGTCACTTTCCCTCCCAACACCTCTCTCTTCTTGTCTTCGTATTTTTTCTTTCGTTTTTGACGAATTTATTAACATATATTTTTCGTTTCTACTGAGTGTTGTTTTGTTTCTAATTTATATCAGGTTTGTACATTTGTGCATTAAACATTTCTTCAAACTATTGAGAATTCACAAGAAATTATTTGAATAAAAATAATATTTTATGATAAATTTTTGGGCGGTGTTATCGCGCTACCAGTATGTAATGTAAAAAATAAAAGTTGGTCGACGTCTTTGATCAAGAAAAGTTGCTAAAAACGACGAAAGGAACGTCGCTGTCATTCATTTCAATATGCATCAATCGCTAAAGGATTTCGGAACTGACATAATGCAGTCTAATATCTGTGAAGAGACAAATGTGATGTCAGTTTGAACATTTGTCTTGAGTTGAAAAGAAGTACACCAAACATGTAAATGAACCTTATGCGATGTTTAAGGAGCATTTTCTAGAAAGGATTTACAACGTCGTGATTTTTACCTTTCCTGAAAATTACGAAAATTAGTATTTTAGTGCAAGGAACAAGAAAACTTTGAAAGATGCTTAAAAATGAAACAACGAAAATGGTGAAAACAGTGCAGAAAATGAATGTTCTGATCCGAGAGATACTAAAACTTGTAAAACTTTGTAATTACAGATACATGAGGGATTATTTGTTCGCTAGTTCGCTAGTTTGGGGCTAATTTAGACATTGCAAACACTATAAAAAATGAGCTGCATTTGCAGATTTCAAAACTTCAACGAAAAAGTATCTTACTTTTCATTTTCTGTCTTTTGTACACCCTTGTTGTACTTATACCTGATTGCATCTACATACAATATTTTACACTAACAAGTAACGCTCGAATACTACATAGAGACATGCAATGATGTCTCCCTTGGTTCGCTTTTAGGAGAACACAATATATATCTTCCATAAACTATTACGGAGCCGAGCGTATGCACTTGGATTGTTTGTGAGAAGTTTCCGCAGTAAGGAATGACAGCGCGTTGATGGAAGCAAAATGGAGCCGGAACTTGGGAAGAGAGGTTCAGACGAAGTTGTTTGTGGCGAGGATGTTTGTGGCGAGGATGTTTGTGGCGAGGATGTTTGTGGCGAGGATGTTTGTG